GGGGCCCCCAAACTTCATTCTTTTCCCCCCGGGGGGGAAAAAATATTGTAGATTTTTGCCATGCTTCATTATTGTCATCTCCCTTATATAAGAACGTCTTTAAAAACCTGAGGAAGTTAAAATAATAAAATTGCTGTGCAGCATATTTTTATTACATAAGCATCAGTAAATTGTTCATGAAACTAGATGTTCCTTCTCACTGCCAGTGAAAGTCTTTCAATTTGTGTTAATGTTATGAGTTTTTTGCCTTTACAAAATTCTCTCTCTCAGACAGTTGCCAATACAGTAGCAGCATTTTTGACTCATATCAATTGTGCAGGTTGTAACTAAAACATGCCAGTGCTGTATCAATCTAAGCAGATTTATTTTTTATTCACCTTATTCTCAAATTGTGTTTTAGAAAATCCTGGAGGTGCACAAAGATTTACACACAATCTTCTGTAATTCTAGACTCCATTGCAATTCCCATTCTAAAAAAAATTAAAATTCAGAAATTGTTTCTACTCAGAGCTATATGAAACATTTTTTTACTAAAGATTTAGAGATTGAAGTGTGACATTTTCAGCAGTGACCAATCAATACAGCAGCTTGTCATCTACTGGAGAGGAGCTGTCACACTTATGAGAGCTTTGAAACTAACTGCTGCGGTTTGTAGTTTACGTTTCCCCAGAATGCGACACTCACTCTCAAACAACATAAACCTCAACCTTATAATTCAAAGTAGATGAGCCTGAAGTTCTTTAAATATTTATTAATTGCTAAAAGTGATCTCTAAAGTAGGAGACTTCTGCAGCTTCCATCTGCATTTTCAATGAATTCCATTTCCAAATTTACTGTTCATTGGGCTTTTATTGAAGGTAATCATTGTGATCAGCAAAGGTTTGACTAATGCACAGATAACTCGCACATAGGAGAGAGGAGCTTACAACGACGTTTTGGTCCAACTTGGACCATTTACAAAGTCACACTAACAAAAAAGGAGAGGAGGAGGGAGTATATATAGGCCAGCACTTGAGGTTCCTAAACCTGTATTCCCTGGAACGCAGGAGGGAGAGATTCATGATTATATACACCTGAGAAAATCCTAGAGGGACTAGTACGAACTTGGCACACGAAATCATCACTACGAAAGTCAAAGACTAGCAGACGAAGCACCATCCCCATTGAATGCAGGGGGTCCCACTAGCAACGTTAAGAGACATAAACAAGTGTCAGGGGCCCGAGAACTGATTCAACTGGCCTCCCAGCACACAAAGGGATACCAACAACCCCTGGCCAGTCTTCAAGCGGACAGGGACAAGCACTAAAGGGAAATTCCTGAATCAGCCCATGGTTGTCACGTACGTTTGGTTTTGTGCAGCAGTTAACAGCCTGGTTGATGGCTCTGACCACCAGGAGCTGCACAACCGGGCCGCAGGCAATTGACCCCCGAACTCTCTCCAGTATTCCAGGTATACAGCAGACAGGGACGTGTACAAGGGATAGGAATTGAAGACAAATTGGTAGAGTGTAGTGTGTGTAGTAGTAGTAGTAGTATAGTAGTAGTAGTAGATCAGTCAAGACTAAGAAAGAGAAGCACAGCAAGGGACTAGGGGCCCACAGACATGGAAGCAAAGAAACAGAGGAGTGGCAATATTAATGAACCAAATACCCAAGGCAGAAAAAGAAAACTCAAAGGAGAAAGAGGAAAGGGAAGAGATAAGGGGGAAAAAAGCATTAGGTTAAGTCACTTGTGTTTCTGAAGTTGGAGGATTATTACATGTAATGGGAAAGGAAGGCATCTACAGAGACAAAAACCAAACTAAGATTCATACAGGAAAGTTTTTTGTATAAGGGGGGATTCAACCAAATGGCCCACTGTGAAAAATAAGACATAGGGTAGACAGTTTTTAGCAGAAGACCAGTCAGTAGGATGACTGTGATCTCAGACATGACAGAAAAGAGGTTTGACCAAACTTTTTTTAACCCTTAAACTGTCCAAATGTAGATCTACGTTGAGGTGCATAGCGCTCCGATCGTAGATCTACATTTTTTTTACATAAGAAAGCATGTAAAATTGGACTTAGATCTACTTCCAGAGTGCTACGCACATCAACGTAGATCTATGTTTGGACAGTTTAAGGGTTAAGTCTGCATTTCAAACTTTAAAATTTTTGTGAAATACATGAAACCACACTTTCTTTACAGTATTTATGCCAACTGTTTATATCCTTGAAAAGAATATTAAAGCCAGTTATTAATTCAATTTGCTATCACATTTCTTGGCAGGAGTACCCTCCCTCATCCCTAACAGCAGCAAAGAGTTTTCAAGCAGTGGTGGGGACATTAAATGCTTCAGCAGGACTTGGTCGCTGCCAGGTCTTTGTTCGAGACTTCGTTGTCACTCAGATAGTAGGAAAGGATCCCAGCGAGATATGGCAGGTTAGTAATTTTCAGTCATTGTCCTTCAAGCATGATACATCATGTGCTATGCTATAAAGGCAGTTCATAAATTTTACAAAACTGATATGCACAGATTCAGTGGTTACCATACTATAATATAGTACTTCATTTTTTAATAATCTTGCCAATAATTTAGAGAAAAGGTTGAGAGTGTTATTAACCACTCTAGTTACCAGACAATGTCTCTGAAAGTCATAAGTGTATCAGTGCTGTTGGTTTATTTTAAATATGAAATTTTACTCTGTTTTGAAAATGTTTATATTTGCTTCAGAAGTTTACTGATTCTCTTCATTACACATGTACATTTGTACAATCTAATCCCCAATATGCTGACAGGATAATCTTCTCCACAGGGCTAACAATAACAAAGAATGAATTTTTTTTTTTTTCAAAAACAAAATGTTCTGTTTAGTATGAAAGTTATTGGCTATAAACCGGAGCAGGTATTTAATGTTGATGAGACAGTTCTCTGGAGATCTTAGTTTGCTCTGGAAGAACATGCCATTTAGAACACTCGGTAAGCAAGAGAAAAATGCTCCTGGATTCAAGACTGTAAAAGACTGTTTTAGTCTGTTTCTTTGTGGTAATGCATCAGGTGACTTTAAATGTGAGCCCATGCTTGTTTATTGCTCCAAGAATTTCTGTGCTTTACAAGATAAAGACAAAAGCATGTTGCTTGTTACTTGGAAGTCCAATGCCCTAGAATGGGTGACTGAGGCCTTTTTCATGGAATGGTTCACCATCACTTTATTCCTGAAGTGAAGATGTACCTGTCACTTCAAAATCTTGCATTCAGGGTTCTTCTCATTCTTGATAATTGTTGTAGTCATCTCCATGGGGAAGTGGAACAGAATTCTTCCTCCATAAGCCATGTGTGTCATAAGAGGCGACTAAAATGCCGGGAGCAAGGGGCTGGTAACCCTTTCTCCTGTATATATTGCTAAGTGTAAAAGGAGAAACTTTCGTTTTTCCTTCTGGGCCACCCTGCCTCGGTGGGATACGGCTGGTGCATAGAAAGAAATAAAGATCTTGAACTCCTGGAGGATGTGGAGCCTGGTGTCAAGATTGCCTTTTTTTACCTCCAAATATGACATCCTTGATACAACCACTGGATTGAGGAGTTATCAAACCATGTAAGTGCCACTGCACACACATTGTGGTGCAGAAGCTAATTGCAGCAATTGAAGAAATGAACAGTGGAGTGCCAGAGTTATGGCACAAATTTAAAATTGCAGAAACACTCCCCTGTGTCAAAAAAGTAGTACTGTAGGATCATATACCAAAATTAGCAAAAAATGCTGATTGAAGAAAAATATTGCCTAGTGTAGTGAATGATTTTACAGGTTTTCCATCAGTAGAAAATCAAGTTCAGGAAATTTTTGATCTGGCAAGAAGAGTACCAGGTGAGGGATTTAAATATATATAGCCAGATGACATCAATGAACTCCTAGAAGGTGGTGATGAGGAACCAATTGCAGAGGAAATATTACAGGAATTAAATTCTCAGATGGAGAGAAAATATGAGATGAAGAACCTGAGCCTGAATGACCAATGTTGACTGCAGGAGATACCTGAGTTGCTGCACACTATTTGCAAAGCTGCATACTTGAAAATGACCATGACTCATCTTGAAGCATTGCTATAAAGTAACTTATTGTCTAATGTATGAAACACTGCAGTGTAAAACAAACCAGCAGCATATGGCAGAATACCTGAGGACTTGACTGCAGCAACCAACTGATGAAACTGATCAGCATCACAAGATCTCCCAACCTTCAACATCACATAATCAGCCATCAACCTTGACCTAGTAGGACCACAGCCACCTTCTCCACTCAGTTCAAGATGTTAAGCATCACCAACCTGGACAGTAGCATGAGAGCATATGGATACACAAAAGGCCTAGGAACTAGGCCCCAAAAGGGTATACAGAAGTACATCTGGATTTATATGTACACTTCACTTATCTTTTGCAAAGAAATTTGTTTGATATGTCTGGTACATATATATTATTAATGAAAAGAAGTTATCTTGACATATCACAGGTTATTATACTGTCCTCTGTATTCATCAATAGCTGGGCAATTAAGCACGTGTTCAAGATAGGGCTGGCCATATACTTTGCATTTGGTTTGATCATCATGTGTTTGTCTGCCAGACGGCCAGAAGTACTTGTAACCTAGCCTAACCCTGGTTACTATATCAGTCAGTCTGTTCACATTGCAAGTAACAAATACTATACAATATTAATGTAACCATTTTTATAGTTACTAGAATTCAGGTATTTCACAGACGATCCTCATTAATAAAATTAATTAGAAAATTTTTTTTTGAAAGAATTGTGATAGTAAAAATTTTTTTTGAGTTTTTCAGAGGGGGTGAGAGGCACAACCTTATTTTTCCCATTTGTTTTTTACTGCATAACTCATGTAAATCATTGGTAGTGCAGGTTTCAGGAACATAACCTGTACAATTTATGAATGCCACTGCAATAATAATAATAATAATAAAATTCACACTTTCAAATTTTTTTGTTTTTATTTTTTATTCAAAAGCATTGTTGTCCTCACCGAGCAGGGTGACCAAAAAAAGAAAGAAAATCCAAAAAATATTACTTTCATCTTCATTAACACATGTCACCACACTCTACAGATATCTATCAACTGGCTTTTGCAGAGGTGCTCGAATACAACACTAATGCATACACATTGAAAGAACACACATATCCTCCAACGCCAGTTATCCCAACCCCTCTTTAAAGTGCAAGCAATGTACTTCCCATTTTCCAGGACTCAGGTCCAACATAGAAATAACCGTATTTCTAAGTTCCCTTCACTAACATAATACCCTGCTACAAGTCCACAGATCGTCAGGTCCAAGTAATCATTCGTCTCCAAGACACCAATCTACACGCTCATGCACGCTGCTAAGAAGCAGCAAAAACTCTTCTACCTTTGTCTCACAATTGGAGAAGCTTCCTCTTTCTTTATAGTGTAGATGAATGTTCCATGTCAGTTTTTTGACCATTACTCTCTAAATGACTCAACGCACCAACAACCCCTTCAGCCCTCAGGACTAATGCTTTTATTAACTCCACACCTTCTCCTAATTTCCACACTCCAAATTTTCTGCATAATATTTACACCACACATTGCAAACTTCTTTTCATTAATTTTACAATATAAAGAGAGCATTCATTCTGTCTTACAAGTATCAATGATGCAAATTCCAGCATACTATACTGAAAAAAAAATTTACCTTTGATTTCAGATTGAACAGCCACTGGAGCTGCTTAAGGATATTCTGGCTCGAAGTGGCTATGCAGAGCCTGAATCAAGACTAATGCTTCAATCTGGAAAAAACACTATTCAAGCAGTGTATCAAGTTGGGGTCTATTCTAACAAGACCTTTTTGGGCTCAGGTGAGAATAGAACTTCAGTCATTCTGTTTCATGTTTCTTTCAACATCAATCTCCTTTTAAGCTTAGCAAAGTAGAGACAGTGCACCAAGGCTTGAAGAATCTAATGATAAGACACCAATCCTCAAGTGATCTAGAAACAGAAGAATTTCATAATTTAGTCCAGCAAGGGTTGGAGGAAGGGTTTGATGGTTTTAAGTGGTAGAGGAATAAGCATCAAGCAGTGTAGTGGCTTTTGGGATTTGACTTGCTGTTAGAGTGTAAGCAAAGCAGCTGATGAAGGGATTTAGGGAAAAACCCAGTTTGAGAAAGAAGCAAGAAAAGGTAATATGATGAGACTGAAATTAAAATGTGGAAAAGTAGAGAGACTAAGAAACTCTGAGGGAAAGTGAATAAAAAAATTTTGATCTGGCAAGAAGAGTGCTAGGTGAAGGATTTAAAGATACATAGCCAGATGACATCAGTGAACTCCTAGAAGGTGATGATGAGGAACCAGTTGCATAACTGTTAATGAAAGGTTAATAAGGTTACTTATTTAGCAGTTGCAAGCACAAAAAAGAATGGATTATTATGAAATGTATGAACCCGTGGGGTGATGGTCACGTGCTGGTAAACAATGGCACATTGTGAATGGTGCGGGAGACTGGCTTTGTGTGCGCGGTGACGGGCGGACAGGTACCGGATGGTCGCCTAATCACAAGTCCAATCACGAACCATGAGGCTAAATTTTGCCAAAAAAACTTGCTAAAAGTTGGATTTCACCAAAGTGGATGCCAGCGAAACTCGGGGGTCCACTGTATATATGTTGCTTTTCAGTTACTTACGTACCTGTGAAAAAAAAAAAGTGGAGAATTAGCACTTTTTTTACTGATGGGGAGCACTTCATGGCTTCTTATAGGCTTTGCCGACATCACTATTTTTTGTGCTTTGGGGGCCATTGTTAAGTAAAATTAAGGCTTATTTTAGGGTAATGGTAAGCAGTGGATAACTAAAACCGTGGAAACTGAATCCGCAGATATGGGAGTCCTACTGTACTGCTTTTGTGTGTGCTTCCATTGTATTAGTACATATTTTGTATCATTTCTCTCTATATTGTATATTATTGGATTTTATTCTCTTTCAGGTTTTAGTGCTTAGTTATGATTATAATAATAATAATATTGTCTTTCAGGTTATGGTGAGACTATAGAAACAGCTGTGGAACAAGCAGCTCATGATGCTTTGAGAAGACTTTTCCACATAACAGAGACCAGGGACCCTCTACCATTTGGCAAAGATGCTGATAACATTGCACTTAAAGAAACAAATGTGTATATAAATGAGTGGATAATTAATAAAACACAAAACATTATAAATTGCTAGTATAAAATCAGTTAATATTTTTGTGTATGCTACACGCATTTTGAATTTTCATTTTATATAACAATAGATAAACTACCATAAATTTAATGTTGATGCACTGTTGTAATTTTCCGTCTCACTATTTTTCAGGTCATCATTAATCATGAACATTGTAAAGCGTGCAGCAAAACAGTAATTTGATAAAGAATACAATAGTACCTCGAGTTACAAACTTAATTTGTTCCAGAAGGCTGTTCGAGTGCCGATACCCAACAAATTTGTTCCCATAAGGAATGATGTAAATTAGATTAGTCTGATTCAGACCCATAAAAATACGCTTACAAAAATACACTTACATAATTGTTCGAGTTGGGAGCTATTCGAAACTCGAGGTACCACTGTAAGGCCATAGTTCTTGAAGATAGTTTGTATTAATATTGTATTCATTATAGTAGTAGTCACTAAGCATATTATATGAACATTTTATGAAGTTAGATGTACAGTCATAGGCAAAAAATTCTTCATGCCTGAAGCTGAACTACTGGAATGAATCTACAGGTTACTGGAGCCTGCTTAAGGCTCAGCACAACTTCAAGTAGGCATGTATTGGGACTTTCGACTGTAACTGTTCAGTACTACAAAGTTGATAAAAAATGAAAATATTTAATATACAGTTAAATATTACAGACTACAAGTAATTTATTTGTTTTTATGTAATATAATGTATGAGTAAATTATTATCATGCTTGTTTACATTGTCTCTCCTTGAGACTGTTTACATTGTCTCTCCTTGAGACTGTTTACATTGTCTCTCCTTGAGACTGTTTACATTGTCTCTCCTTGAGACTGTTTACATTGTCTCACCTTAGACTGTTTAAAATTGTCT